GGAGAGAATATTATACTCCGTTTCAAAATCTAAAGCTTAGATTAAGAAATTTTAATATTTTCAGTCAAAGGATACATTGTGTGTTCTTAAAATTCGATTATGATTACGGCATCCCTCTTCATAGTTCGAATTGTGAGAACATGACACATAAAATATTATGGCAAAAGATTGGTAAAGTATCATATCTTTATGTAAGTTCATTATGCATCGTGTCCCATACGCTTCGGGTATAGGATCGATTGTAAATGCTATAGTATTTTACCATTCTAAAATTTTCCAAATGTCTAGCGCATTAAGAGGGAAAAAGGAATAGAATTGGTTTTGACTGAAAGAATTTAACAACTATCAAAGGACGATCCAAAGTTCGCTGAGGATTGATCGCTTGTAAGTAGTTGGAAGTATGGTATTGGATGGACCATATCGACATTATTATGAATAGATAAGATTCTATTAAGAATGAGTTGTCATATGGCAAATGTGGAAATGTTTCCATATTGGAGTTGGATATTGAGAGTCTATGCCTAGATTAGAAACTTTTATGCAAGAAGGATGTTCAAAGGAATGTACTTTGAATGTGAGACTTCACATCTATGGAATTGTCTTGTAACAATTTCTAAGAAAGTACTTTGTAATTTCATTAGCTACGTCTTGGTGACTTTTGTGCTATGATTTTGCAAAGGGATCGTTGCATAAAATGTTAGAATCTAGCATATTCTAGTAGTGGCAAGAACCTTGTGTTCTTACACTAATAATTAGGATTAAGGAATTGTGAAATGAGCATCATTGGAAAAGTTTTCAGGTGATCTATTTCACAAAGCATGGACCATAGGAAACAAAGTGTGCATGTTTAGAGCATGGGACAATTGTTGGTATAATTCAAGTAATGAGTTGATTATCCGAAACATTAAATGATAAATAATGAGTAATCAATATGGTGGATAAATAGAAGGGTTTTATTTACTCTCACAAGTTTGGGGCCATATAGGATTAAGTATTGTTGTTATGTTTCAATTTGCATGTTTTGACTTCCAGAATAACTAGGTTATTCAAACATCCACAGTTGGTCATACGTTGGGAGTAGGTATGAATAAAGACTGTCATGAATCTGTCTGTAGATTGTCTGAAGTGTTTAGACATGGCACAAGTTTGCTGCAGAGTTCGTGAGTGCTTTGATAAGATTAAAGTATTGGATTAAACCCACGCTCACTTGGATCACTTCACGGTTTTATCACGAGTGATTAGTGAGACGATAATATTGTATATTCTTGAAACCGAGACGTGTGAGTTGTTATTTGTTGGTCAGTTACACATTGATAATAAGTAAACGCACCAGTAACTTGGTGTTATAAAACTTATTGTTGTGTGTGATTCGATCAGTAAATGCAAGCGAGCATTTGAGTCGAAGTTTATCCATTCCTTTTACCCAAAGTGGGATAAAAGCGATATATGTGGGCCTCTCGATGATTTAGTGATGACACCTAAGCGCTTGGCCAAGCCGGGACTAAGTTGATGTGTTCAATTGTAGTCTGTTATCAGTCGTCATGAATCGGAAGTCGGGAAACAGTATAGAGAGAATGATTGAAATTCATGTCTTTTGTCTATACGATATCTTGAGAATGGAGGAATATATAATCCCTTATCTAGAGGACACGCTATCTGATAAGATCAGAGTTGACAACGGCTTTTGAAAGCTACGATTGCTGATCAGGTTCTGAAGTCATACGGAAAATAGTTATTAGACTTATCCAAGTGGGAGACTGTTGGATTAGTGTCTAAGTCCATAACTGTTTTGGTATGTACTTGACCCGATTATGAGCATGGTCCTTTTGGGTTGCCTTCACCATAGCAATATGTAGGATGATTTAAGGAGAGAAAGGTTTAAATATGATTTATTAATATATTATGAGAATAATATATTAAAGGAGAAATCATATTGTTTAATTAATATTGGTCAAGAATTAATTAAGAATTAATTTTGTGGTTAAAAGAGATTAATTAAACTTAGGGGACTGAAGTTGTAATTATAAGATAATTATAATTGGGCTATGGATCACCTAATAATATATAGGTTGAACGAATTCTATGGGAAGCCCATTAGAAATCGTCCAAGGGATATGTTTAAGGAGTCCATGGGCTGCTTAGGGCCTAAGCAGTCAAATTAGGGTTTCCTAGTTGTAAACCCTAATAGCCTACATGTATAAAAGGGACCCTTAAGCCCCAAAAACGTGGACAACACTTCTATTAGGGTTTCCAGCCGTTTTTGTTGCCTCCTTTTCTTCTCCTCTTCATCCAAGTTGCATATGGTGTTTGTGACTCCATTAGAGGTACTACACTTGTGGTACTTGCTTTCAAGAGCTAAGGAAATTCAAGGAACTAGTTGTTATTGCTATATAACAACAAAAGGTATGTATTATAGTTTTATATATGAATTTCGAAAATTATAGTAGCATGCCAGGTTTCTTTTGGTGTTCATAAAGCTGTATAACTAATAGTGAAAACATAGATCCAATACTAGGGTTGCATGCACACATAGGATTGTTTGTATTAAACCCATCACTTTTTACCTCCAGTTGATGCTCCAACCTCAGAAAGCTCAGATCCAAAGCTTGACCTCCAATTCTAGCTCCTTCAAAAGCACCTCCTTATCTTCAAGAGCACCTCCTTATCTTCAAAAGCACATAAGAACACTTTCAAGCTCAACCATACTCACACAAGCTCTAGAACGAGGGTTAGGGCACACTTAGGGTTTTGCTCTCTGGAAATGGTGGCTAGAAGTGAGGCCATAACGTTCCTTATATAGGGCTCACCCCCACAATTAGGGTTTCAGTCTGAACCTAGTACGCCCAACATACACTATGGTACCCGCCACATACTGGGTAGCCTCCGCATCAAGAACACGCTAATGAGTACGCACAACATACTCTCCCTTACGCCCATCGTACTAAAACCATACATTCTTTTCACGGACTGAGTTTGACAACTTAAGGAAAGAAAAGGATCAAAGAGATGTACGTGGGTTCTGGGATGTTACAATCACAAATGTCGGGTTATGAAAAAAAAACAATCACATCGACTTCCTACAATTAAGTCACAAGCACATTAAGTCATTAACAATTCAGTAAACAATCAAAGTATCAAAGCATCAAATGATTAAGTCGTTAACAATTTAACAAACTATTAAACGAAAAATTCTTTAAGAATTTAACAAGTACCTGTGTTGGTTGCGGTGCTTGTGACTGTGACTGCCATTGGGATGGAGCACTTGTACCCGCAGCTGAAGAAGCTTTATGCCAAATGCTTGTCACGTGCCCCCTTTGTGTACCCAACACCTTCTCAAATATTGCGATCCAATCAATTGTATTTGGATCACCACCAAAGTCGGCTATGTGATGAGTCTGTAGAGCAACCTCAGCAACTAAACATTCTGTATTTCACAAAGATTGCTAATGTACGTTAAACTAACACAAAAAAACAATAATCTACTTCATTTTTAAGTAATAATAACTTACATATTGCTCTTCAACCAAAGTATTAACAAATTCCCATTTTTTTTCACATGCGCACGATAAAATACTTCAAGTCTATTCAAATTCTATTTAACATTACAAAATATGTTATATTTGAATAAACTTTTAAAACTATGTTATAACTGAATAAGCATTATTGTAACTTACTTTCTTGAAACAAGCACTACCGTAGTTGCACGTCCCTCCACGATTCTTCACTACTTGCTTCTTCCGGCATTCTTTGATTCCAGCAGATCATTTTTGATGTTTTTCTATTAAGAAATGGTCAATAGCAGCATTCCAACGCTGCTGATCCATACTCATAGGGGCTTGAGCCTTTGCTGCCTCCACATTCAATACAAAATTAGTTAAATGGTCTTTTGCAATATTTTGCGGCTCCTATACCGTGCACATATCCGATTGTTTAGCGATGCCCAGTAAGTTGGAGCCATGGGATGATTTTTAATCACTCCAAAATCAAACCATCACTACAAAAAATAGAGAAATTAAAAATAAATCAATATTAAAAAATATTAAATATATAACTTTATAAATAATTTACCGAAAGATACTGCAACATTCGAACCCTTTCAGCTTCAGAAACATTTGTCCATGTGTCTTTATCAAAACCGATGTCCCGCCACATATAGCTCCCAACCTCTGAATGAAACATTCATATACCTCCCCAATCAGCATGCTAGTATTTATGTCGAATACTATCTTAAGAGGCCGGTTGCCGTTAGTTGCAAATAGTTTGTGCATTTTTATTTGCTGCCATGCCTCTTCGTTTCGGAGGCACCACTGCATAAAAAAATATTAGTCAAAATAATTTTTTATATAGATACAATATGAAATACAACGAATTAGAATAAATCTTAATTACCATCGTTCTGGTGATCACCGAAACCTCCACCGAATGGATGTGGTGGCTCATCACCACCGTCACCTCCATGGCCTATCACAGCAAAACCGATGTCCCGCCACATATAGCTCCCAACCTCTGAATGAAACATTCGTATACCTCCCCAATCGGCATGCTAGTATTTACGTCAAATACTATCTTAAGAGGCCGGTTGCCATTAGTTGCAAATAGTTTGTGCATTTTTTATTTACTGCCATGCCTCTTCGTTTCGGAGGTACCACTACATAAAAAAATATTAGTCAAAATAATTTTTTATATAGATACAATATGAAATACAACGAATTAGAATAAATCTTAATTACCATCGTTCTAGTGATCACCGAAACCTCCACCGAACGGATGTGGTGGCTCGTCTCCACCGTCACCTCCATGGCCTATCACAGCAACAACAAGATGGAGCAATGCAATAAAAAAAGGAAATCCTAAAAAATATAACACATTAATATATATATATATATATACACACACACACACATAACATGATATGATTACAACAAAGGCAAACCTTATTTTACTAGTCAAATGTAAATATTTTTTTAATCATTCTTGACCCCCGACACTTCAGTGTCTGCTGACACATCACTATCATGATCAAAATCTTTCTCATCATAACTAGTCTCGCAATCATACACATTATTGATGATACTCATTGGTGGGTCAACTTCAGTATCATCTTCAACCGATTGAGAATTTTGGAAGTACTGGCTAAAGTTGATTGAAAGAGTGAAATTAGAAAGAACATTACTAAGAATGACATCGGTTGAATCATTGTCGACATTTTCAATGGGATCATGGTCGACATTGATCATCGGTAGATCCTAAATTCTTCTATGATTAAAATTTTCAACAACCCACCATTGGTTGTCATTTTCATCACTTCGAGAAGGTTCTTGGATGTAAAATACTTGCTTCGCCAGTGTAGCAAATATGATTTGATCTTCGCTGCTCACTTCGCGTTGTGGGTTGTTACTAGTGAAATTATTATTAGATTTAAAACCTGAAGTATCGAACCACTTGTAACAAAAAAGTACCATGGAATATTTATGAGGATAATGCAACTCGATAATATTTTCTAGCTGACCATAGTATTTATGCTTATTATCTCCCTCAGTTAGAACCCTTGAGTTTTGTGTTGATCATTAGGCATCACACATAAGTACCATAAACCTAACACCATTGACTATGCAAGCGGTGTAAGAAAAGGCATTCGCATGCACACCGATTAAAAGAGTCGATAACTCCTTGTTAAACTCTAGAGATTTTTGTTTTTGCATATCATAGACTTTATGAAGGAACCATTAAGGGAATTCAGTTTTTTCATTACTTTCAGGATGTAATGATTTGAATTCACTACATTGATGAAAAAAATATTTAGTAAAACTATCAAGCACAAACCAATGTAGACGTTTTCTCTCCTCTAGAGTGAGATTTTTCATTTTCTTTGTGCTAGTCGGTCGATACTTAGACTGAAACACCCATAACTTTGTTTCTTCTATGACAACATCCTCGTTTCTTTCGTGGTGATTGAATCGAGTCTCGACATTTTCAAGGTACATCGAACAAAATGATAATGCCTCTTCAGCGACATAACCCTCAGTTATAGAATCTTCCGGCCTCGCCTTGTTTCTAACATAGTTTTTTAGTTTTTTCATATACCTTTCGAAGGGATACATCCATCTCATACATATCAGGCCTCTGCAAATAGCTTCATTAGGTAAATGAAAAACTAAACGAACCATAATGTCAAAAAACGCAGGAGGATAGATCACTTCTAATTTGCACAATATTTTAATAATGGCTGGTTTCGCTTCTTTCATATCTTTCACCGATAGTGTTCTTGAGCAAAGTTGCTTAAAAAAATATACAAAGTTCTACTATTTGTGTATAAACACATTTGCTCAAAATACCTTTAACTCAAATAGGTATCAAACGTTGCATAAGAATGTGATAATCATGCGATTTTAGCCAAATAATGTTAGTATTGGTTTCATTCACTTTCTTACCGATGTTAGATCCAAACCCATCCGACAGTTTCATATCTCTTATAAACTTACAAAAATGAATGCGGTCAGGTTTCGTGAATGAGTAAGGTGGATGGGGTTTAAGGAACTTGTTGCCACTCTTTTTCAACGATTTACTTTTCCGAACGTTCAGTTTTCTTAAGTCCGCCCGAGCATTTGATGTGTCTTTAGACTTATCATTCATCGGAGAAGTACCTAAAAGACTCACCCACATTTTTTCAATATGCATAAGAACGAAGTTGTGCTTTAGCTCCAGAGAAGACCAATACTCAAGTTCAAAAAATATTCTCTTTTTAGACCAATTCAACTCGAAATCCTCACAATCTCTCTTAATATCAGCTCATTGAGTAGCTACTTTACCCGGTGGACGAAACAATAGACGAGTGTGTTGCGCTTGTATTTCTTCATCACTAAATTGTCTTGGATGGCCTTTTATCTCATGTTCACCATTATAGTACAAATTTTTTTTCCATGGATGGTCAGCATCTAAGAACCGGTGATGACCAACATATACGATTTTAATTGGTACTCGGTATCACGGAGTGTCTTCGTTTCAAGTCGGAAAAGCTTTGTAACCTTGTCCGCTCCAACCAGATAAACTACTACGAGCTGGAAAGTCATTTATTGTCCATAAAAATCATTGCTTTCATATTGAAGAATGTATTTGTTTTTGCGTCTTTAGTACGTACTCCAAAACTGATTTAACTTATCCACCAACGGCCTAAGGAACACATCCAAGTCCTTCCCGGGTGCTTTGGGGCCGGGAATCAACAGGGTCAACATGAAAGATGACTCTTTCATGCATAGCCATGGTGGATGATTGTAAGTGGTGAGTATGAAGGGCCACGCGCTATGTGGATTACACATGTTACCAAACAGATTAAAACCATCAATAACAAGCCCTAAGCGTACGTTTCGAGGTTCCGTCGAGAAGTCAGGATACTTCATATCAAATTTTTTCCATGAAGTACCATCAATAGGATGAAGCATCGTACCATCTTTGGATCGTCCAATACTATGCAAAATCATTTTTTTTGTTATGTGTCTAGAACAGTACAAACGTTGTAGTCTGGGGGTCACGAGAAAGTATCATAAAACCTTATGAGCCACCTTCTTACCCTTTGTGTGACATCCCCAAAATCACGGCCAGAAAAGACCGATTTTGTTTATGCTGTATAAAAATCAGAGTACTTCATTTTATAAAAAGGTTGCGGAATTTGTTCCCAGAAAAACATGGTAAATACGTTATTAGAACATTTTCGAAGAAACGTATTTATTTCATTTTAAAACGTTTGGGATGTCATCGTTAATACATGAACATAAGCATAAACAGAACTTACAATTATTCACACTAGTGGTCTACATCTCTTTAAATCTCTCAGTGTAATGTCACTTCATATCAACACCTGTGATATAAATAAACTGAGTGGGTCAGGTTGGGAAACCTGGTGAGCACATAGGGATTTCAATCCCACAATGTTATACCATATATATATAGTTTAAAATTCACAAAATATACAATTTCACCATACATATATATAAACAACTCTTATCCCACCCCGTCGATCCTCGCAACGAGGCTATACATACTCTCGGACCTAAGATTAGTCGTTTTACCTACTCCATACTCTCGGATCAGAAATGAACGAATTTACCAAATCCATACTCTCGGACTAGGGATGAATGACTAATCCATACTCTCGGATTAAAGATGAATGATTATGCCTAATCCATACTCTCGGACTAGGGACAATAGCTAATCCATACTCTCGGATTAACGACGAATGATTATGCCTAATCCATATTCTCGGACTAGGGACAATGACTATGTCTAATCCATACTCCCGGATAAGTGACATATACTAACTTCTATTCTCTGAGTTTAACTCACTTGTACTCGTAAGAATATACTACCCAATATTCCTCATATTTAATTTAGGTCTACTCTTTATCCTAAATTATCAAATATAATCAGGTATGTTCTTTAACACGAATTTCAAGCAACATCAATTAACTCGCACATAAACATATAATTAATACTTCAATCAATACTTGTATTAAAATCATGTTCATGAAAGGGACTATGCACTCACCTGAGAAGGTGGTGACTCGGTACTCGGACAGCGCTTCGTTTACTTTAAAATAATTTCCTTCGACGAAACCTAGTATTATCACCAATAGATTTTAGTCTATTATTCGCCGAGACTAATTAATAGTCTAGCTATTATTACTATTATATAAGCGTTAAAAAAATACTTATATAACCCATAATAATAGCCCAAGTATTTATTATATGTTCTTAATAACGTTCATATAATTAAATAAAAACTATATTAAAAATAGCGTAGACGTAGCTCACTTACAGCGGGTTTTATAGAAAACCAGGCTTTGCTTGGAGCAGCGTTTCCGAGCCGAAAAGCTCTTCTTCTCGGAGCCATCGAGCACTCCGGGGCTTCCGCCTCGTGCTAGGGAGGTTCCCTAGGCTTTTCGGGGGATTTCGGGGCTAGAGAGAGGTTCTAGAGAGAGAGAGTAAAGAGAAGAAAGAATGGGAAAGGTGTGAAGAAAATGAGGGTGGGAGAGGTGGTATTTATAGGGTGAAAATGGCTGAACTTGGTGCCACATGTCACCATCTAGTGGCAAGACTTGGGGAGAAAGCAATGGCCAAGATTGTGCCACATCACCCATTTTCGCACAACACACTTCCGACTTCTAAAATCCGTAACTTTCACATACGACCTCCGTTTTTGACGTTCTTTATATCCACGCGTAGGTAAAAATAATATCTACAACTTTCATTTTGACTCCGTCGGCTAATTCTCGACCGATCTTAAATTTAACAGTACGAGGCGTTTAGACTGTTAAATGACCGCGAAGAATTCGTAACTCCTTCATACGGACTCCGTTTTCGTCTGTCTTTTTACCGTTGAGTTCCTATTAATGAGATCTTCAACTCTCATTTATTTCACGTAAGCCAAAAACCGCTCGAACTAAAATTCGAGTTTCGGGCTGTACACTGCTAAGCCGAATCTTAGAAAAATCATAACTTCCTCATACGAAGTCAGATTTGGGC